TATTTCAGGGATCAAACTTTATCAAAGATTTGATGTTCTTGGAAAGTTTCGGGCACAAATAACCTTCATAGAGCCCTCACAAAAACAACAAAATCACTGCTCAAAAGTGTACATAAACTTTAAACAATGATTTTGTTGTCTTAGGTGACGGCTCCTCGAATGTTATTTTTAGCTGAAACTTTGCAAGATCATCAAAAATTTGATCATGTTTGATCTCCCAAAGTTTCAGGTTTATTGATTTTTTTTTCAAAAAAAATGAATTTACTCTTCATAGAGGGTGTAGGGGCACTCGGTGCTGAAAATCCTATCTGATAGTAAATTCAAAAAAATGTTAGAAAAAAAATAAAAAAATAAATTTATTTTTGTAATATACATAGTCAACCGGTATACTTGCATATGAAGTTTCACGAAGCAATCGCATCCGTGGTAATCCAGAAAAAATGACAAAATAGAAGCCATATTAAAAAACACTATTTGATGAATAGTATGGTCACAATTGTATTTTCTTCACTAAGAATATCATGAGTGTGAATACATCACGAAACATCACACATGAGTAGAATGGTCGACTAAGTTTCATACTACAAAATTTCAGAATTTTATAAAGTTTCCAGTATTTTTTATGAATTTACTAGTCACTGGGTGCACGTGAGACCATGTTCACCTTTGTATTTTCGCAGTGGGAGGCCACTAGAATAAATTTACTATACAAGTACGTACGTAATTGGAACTAAAACTAAAGATAATTGATGTAGACCAATTTCAGTTGATGGCAACAAAAATATACCTTTCATTGGGACTTGGTTGATATTCTTCTTCGGTGCCATATGCTCGCCGGTTGCAGCCTTGTCCAGTTGTCGTGTGTGGGTCGGAGCCTGGCCTCATCGGGTGACAGCCCTCGCTGGTCGCAACATTGCCGAATTGCCGTCAACGGCTGTGGCCTTATCTCGTTGATCGGCGGCGTTTGCATGCCGCTGGCTGCTACCGCCCTGCAGCCCACCCATGCCATACTGCGTGTCGGTTTCCGCCCTGCTACGTGGGAGCTCCTATTTCGCGTGCGGGTCGCTGGGTAGCAACATCGTGCACCCTCCACTCCGTCGACGCGTGCTTTTGGGTCGGCCCATATGGGGACGGGGTGCCACTTTTTTCTATTATTTTCTTCTATTAAATTTTTCAGGCTTTAAAATTGTTCTAAATTTCAAATAACAGTTGGTAATTCAAACAATGTTCATGATTTTGAAAAATTGTTTTTGAATTCAAAAAGTTCTCAAAATTGAAAAACAATTCTCGTGATTTCAAAAATAAAGTTCACAAATTCAAAATTGCTCATGATTTTGAACAAATGTTCGTCGATTCAAAAATGTTGACAAAAATAAAAATCTTCATGAATTAGAACAAAGTTTCATTGATTCAAAAAATCTTTGCTGATTCAAAAGATGTTCAGGAAGTCTAAAAAATGTACATGCACTGAAAAAATGTAATCAATTTAAAAATAGTTCCCTAAAATAATTTTCACTTACAAAAGTTAACTGATACAAAAAACCACAAGTTTTCCAAACAATGTTCACAATTTAGATAAAATGTTCGTGAATTTCAGAAAAAAATTATCGTGAATTGGTAAATGTTAACAATTTTGGAGAATTTTCACAACTTTGTAATGTTCACGAAATTTAAAAAAAAATGATGATTGCATAGAAAGTGTTCACCAATTTGAAAAATATTCATGATTTAAAAAAATGTTCACCAAAACTTAAAAAAGATGTTTAGAGAAAAGGAAAAAAAGAAAATGAACATGAAAAAAGAAAAGAAACACGAATATGAAAAAATAAAGGAAATAAAAAACAGAAAAAGAAACGAAACAAAAAACACATAAAAAGGGGGAAAACTGCTATGGGATGGTTCCATAACCTTCCTAGGAAAACCCTAGTTGGGAAGGCCCAAAAATGTACGTG